CTCCACCCTTACTTAAATGTGTCAACCACCATATTGTGCACGTGTGTTAGCATATTTTCATAAATATTTTCAAGGGTGTTAGCTCTCCACTAGATCCTAAATGCATATGCAATGAGTTAGAGCATCTAGTGGCACTTTGATAACCGCATTTCGATATGAGTTTCACCCCTCTTAATAGTACGGCTATCGAACCTAAATGTGATCACACTCGCTAAGTGTCTTGATCACCGAAATAAAATGGCTCCTACTACTTATACATTTGCCTTAAGCCTTTTGTTTTTCTCTTTCTTCTTTTCTAAGCCCGAGCACTTGATCACCATGGTCACACCATCATCTTGATCATCTCCATCCTTGCTCACCACTTGAAATGTGCTACCATATCTCATGATATATTTGATAAACTAGGTTAGCACTTAGGGTTTCATCAATTCACCAAAATCAAACTAGAGCCTTCAGGCGGCCGGATTGGCTGTTGCCGACGGCGGCGGCGCATGGGGCACGAACGACCTAGGGTGGAAGCGCCTCTCTCATCTCTTCCCAAGCCTGGTGCTCCCCAAGATTTGCCTCGCAGCTGTCTTCGAGTACATCCACGTCGTCGAGGTTCAGCCTGGTGCTCCCCAAGGTCTACCTCGCCGCTGTCTTCCAGTATATCGACGCCATCGAGGTTCGTGTCCCCTTCTTATTCTCAGTCCGGATCTAGGGTTCAATCTCCATGGTGTTGTTGCAGCCTTCTCAATTTGGTACAGTTAAATTGTTCAGCATGTGAGTTCACTGCAAAAAGATGATTGCCACAAGCTTGGTGGTATTTTGATGCAACACTTGCGCCTGCAGACCATGGGATGGGGTGATAGAGAACTCAAGGTTAGTACCCTGCTCATGGATTGGTCAGCCTGGCAGTGCAATATCTCTTTTAATTCATCACTGCTAATTGCAAATCCAAATTTAATGAACTTTGGTGTCTTCTGTGCAATGCAAATATGAATTAGGGGTAGCCTACAGTTATATGTGGTTTGAAGTTAACTCTACTTTTAATTACATAAAGTAGAATGTGTATGTTTTTAGATTGCTCTTCAATGTTTGATATGGCAAATATTCCTATAGGTGCTGCTTTCACAGGTTATTGAAATAGACTATTGCTTTCTTCCCTTCCAATCAATATTTTCTATGGTTTTGATTACATAAAAAAAAAAGGACAGACCCAGTGCCGGAGGCTCCCATATGAGTGAGGTCTGGGGAAGGGATAAACCGAGACAAGCCTTTCCCCCGCAAAATCTGCGGAGAGGCTGCTTCGAACCCACGACCTGGTGACTCAGTGAGACAGCTCTCACCACTGCACCAGGCCTGCCCTTCTATGGTTTTGATTACATAACTTCATTATTTGCTTTGTCGAAGTTCCTGCATCGTAAATACTATGATCAGTATTTTTTTATGGTTTTGATTACATAGCTCCGTTATTTGCTTTGTCGAAGTTGCTGCAGTGCAAATAACTATGTCCATGCATTGGATGGCCTGCTATAATGATGCATTGTTCAATACAAAACTCTCTTTCTGTTCCATATAGTCTCATTTACAGCAACAGTTCCTCGAATGGTTGCAGAGAGATAAGGTAGCAGCAGTACTTCTTCTGATGTCGAACACCCAAACTTACAGACATGCTGCCATGATTAATAGGGTAATAAAGATATTTCTTAAGGAGTTCATGGAAAGTGAGAGTACCTTGGCAGCAAAGGATGCCAACTTCCTTATTAGTGGAATTCTTTTCCCACCTGTTTCAAAGGTAAAGCCATAGTAACTCCTTTTTTTCTTATTCGTCTAGCTAATCGAATGTACATTGATTAATGATTACATATAACCCAGCAGCCACAAGGATCAGTATACACTTTGCAATTGGGGAAGAAGGTAAGGTATTCATGGAGAAAAGATATAAGGAATCATTAACAAGTCCTTACATTTCTATGTGCAGTTTTCCCTTTTTATATTTTCATATCGATCGAGTTTGTTCTCGCCACAGTTCATGGATATTGATTTCAGCCTGCTGTTGCCCACATTAATAAGCATGAGGTTATTTTACTTAGATGCATAGGTTATACGAGCACATGCAAGTGATACCCATTCAAAGGTAACACGTTCATGGAGAAAAAGAAACATCCAATCACTTAAGTCATAGGTACATAAATTTCTATATGTGATTTTCCCATTTCTATATTATTATAATCGATGGAAATTGTTGTCACCACGTTTCCTATATATAGATCGATTTTGTTGCTTTTGATCTATGGTAATAGCTGCTGCTAAAATAAAAGGGTTGGATCATCAATATGTTGAGTTCTCGATGCATTTGGAATTATCAGCAGCCTCCTCATTCCTTAGTTCAGCTGGTTCATATATAGATTTATGCTGCATTCTTGGACCACATAGTTGCCTAAGATCTACCACTAGCCACCTCCCTACAGTTCATACTTCATACCATGCTGTAATTGTGGTTTACTTCACATAGATTGTTGTGTGCCAACTGCCAAGAAAAATGGTTTTATGTGCAGGAAGAAAACAAGATTAGTGCTAAGAAATTCCTACCTTTTTGGTCACAGTTTCGTGACCGATGAATCCATATACATAAGCCTGAACAAGAAGCAACAATAGTGGTGGTGTTCCTGCCTCGCCAGTATTCCAATGCTCGGCATCTTCGGTAGTGCTAATTGGGGCTACCCTGCCCGAACGAGCATATGAGGTCATGGTATTCTACTCTTGCTCATCAAATTATGACATTATATTTTTTTGGTTTGCTCAGAAGATCAGATATATAGACATTATAGGTTCATGTGACCTTTCTTTCTTGGCCGTGCATCTCTTATTGAAATGACGGAGTCCAGTTTATTACCAATATTTTTGTCTTCTGGTAATATGTTTCAAACATGCGCAACCTTTTCTTTCGGTACTCATAGCTAACTGAAAAATATAATCCAATTGTCTAAAAAACGCAAAGCTCCACACGAATCGTTTAGCTTTTGCCTCTACTAACTTTCTAGATGTGTTCACTCAGATTGTGATGTCAGCTTCTCCATAAATTAGTTAGCGAAAATGCAGCAGTATCCACTTAGTTACTGACTAAATCTGCCTTTTTCACCAGGTCACTGGATCCAAGTTGTGTGCTACGTACTTGACAAAATTTGTAGAATGTTAAGCTAATGCCACTTCGATTCAACGAATCTGCATGCGTAAAGGTTATTGTTGTTGCTGTACTATTGCATGCCTCTAGGTTGCCAAACGCAAGTCTTTTGCAGCTTATAACTTTCTCCCTATTGTTTCTTCCTAAATTTGCTCTTTATACTTTCTACAGCATCAATATCCTGTTCCTGTACCTATGACTAAGCTTCTAAAAACGAAGAGCCTGATTGATTGGCTTGTGCTCTTCCTGCTGTAACTGCACAAGCAGTGCACTCTACAGAGAGGAGCAGTATGGTCTGCACCTATAGCCCAAAAAAGGGCAGGTCATTAGAACCAACAAAGGTTACCTTATCTCTTTAATTAATACTACAATTGTTTCCTGTATGCATCCTAAATCTTAATGTACTCTGTTTCCCATAACGGAACATGTTATGTTATTGATTATATATATATATTGCTGCTTAAAGCCTATTGATATTTTACTGAAGGAGAGCTGTGAATACTGCTTCAGTTATAATGACACTTCGAATCAAGTTTTCCTGGTTATGATGATAACAACAGCAATATAATACAGGTTGTTATTCGCCTCTGTTTCAGTTATTAAATCACTAATGTATAAGGCCGATATTTTAGCTAGAGTACATATTTCCTTATCCAACTATGATGCCTTCATAAAAGTTATTTCTATCATCACATATATTGCTGCATACCAACCGCGGCAACGCGCGGGGTTCCTGCTAGTGATTATATATGTATAAAGCAAAAGCCTCTCATGACTGTTTCAGTGATAATTAGAAGGAAAAGAATAGCACAGGCAGCATAGCAACATCTCTCTCCAACTAAATTCTTATTAAAATGTGGAAAAATTCTCAAACACCAAATGTGTCACCCAACTCAACTTCTCAACTGTCTTGAGCTCTTCTTTCTTTGTTTTATTAACTATATGTCCAGAGAAAAATATGTGATCTATTCAAACTATATAAAAAAATAAAAGCACCATAATGCTAGTAAATACAATCACCTACACAAACACCATACCCTGAATTGAATATGATATGTGGCAGCAGCAAAATGAAGGAGCGGTCCTTGCTAAACACCAGCACACGCAAATGCTTCCCCTGATCACAGCTCCAATTCGCAGCCCCAGCAAACCACACACATCACCTAACAAACATCACAATCCCATCACAAACATTGATCCGTATTCACCGTTGGAAAACAAAGCAATTTCATACTTCTTTGATCTGGACATACCTGGCTAGTAAGGCCAATGCGTCCAGTGCTCCGCCTATGAGCCTATGTGCCGGCACCCCCGTGCTCTCTGCAGCATCACTGGCGCCTCTATGCCTTTACTATAAAATGATGAAGATCATCGTCCGCGACAAAAGAATCATGGGCTATCTCATAGAAAGGAGTTGCTCATAATCTCCATCTCTGTGTGTTGCTCCCTCCAATCTTGCACCAAAAGGTATATTCTTCTCTGTTCTGATGACTGCTCACCTTTTTTTCTAGGAGAGAACTTGAAAAGCCTCACTTCTTTAACAGAAAAAAGACCACCTAAATTAACAAGGGTTCCTGTATCTGGACCTATCGGTGGTCAAGGCACGATCATCTCCCTCAACAGCCAAACTGGGGTGCTCAATTTCAATGCTATCTTTAACCAACAGAGAATCTAATCCCTCAAAAATAGAAATCCCACAGTTTTTTTCTATACCTTGTACTTTTCAAATATATTGATGAGGCTATTCCTATCCCTTTCACATGCCACTCGACGATCCTTCAAACTCTTAATTGGTGAGTGCAGACTCTCAATATCCCTTCTAATATCTGCCTTGTCAGTCCAGCAGTAAATCTCTTTCCATATGCAGCTCCCTTTTCTCCAATAATGTCTTCTGGATCTTGGACTCAGCCACAGTAAAATGCACTGTCAATTGCTTGGAGCCATGGCAACATTCTCTCATTTTCCCCAAAAATACCCAGGATTCGATTGGATAAAATGGCTCCACATTCCCTAATTTTCCCCAAAAATACCCAGGATTCGATTGGATAAAATATCTGTACCTCACTGCTCCTGCAACAAAATGGTAGTATCAGATTACTTACTTTCTCTTTCAAGTTCCAAACTCACGATCCACGCAGAGCAACAGAGTATAAGAATCACAGTAAATCAGGGCAATCCAGATCTAAATCAGAGTGTGGTGGGACTGAGGAAGGGAATGGGATTACATACGTGGTGGAGAGACAGTGGATGAAGATGCGGGCGCTGGCGCCCTCGACGAACCCGGTAGTATAGTCCTTGTTGACGGTGACCTTGTCTCCTTCCCCGCCGGCGACGCGGGAGAGCTTGTCCTTGACCAGGCGGATGTCCACTGCGCATACACCAGGGCCAGGGGCGGCAGGGAGCGGAGCAGGGGCCGGGGGGCGAAGGGCTGTGCTCGGCGGGGATGCGGAGTCCGTAGGGGTTGCCATGCGGGCTGCTGCCCTCTTCTTCTGCAGCGGAGCAGGGCGGGGCGAGGCGGCCGGCGGCGGCGCACGGGGTGGAGGTGGCGCGGGACGGGATGGAGGAGGAGTGGAGCTGAGGGGCAGCCTTGCGACGGGACGGGACGGGGCAAGGCAGTGCAGAGACGGGGTGCGTTGGTGCAGAACTGCAGATACGGCGCGCGGTCGTGCGGAGAAGGGGGAGCCGGGCGGGGCCGCGAGGGGGAGCGTAGGAGGGGGCCACCTGTCGGCGCTGAGAAGATCGCAGGTGCGGTGCTGAGCGACGGCCGGCTTCACCACGGAGAGTGAACGGGTCCAATTTAATCTTTTTAGAGTAGAGATAGTACTAGTGACTCCCACTTATGTTATGCTTTAGTAGTTACAAATGTGTTGTGTCAACGTTGAGTAAACAGTGTGAATGCTAAACATTTCTTCTACTAAATCTCAGTAGCACAGCATTTCTATTTTCATGGTAGCAACAAATAGACCAATACATGCATTTGTAGGAAAGCGGCTAATTGATTCAAAAAAAAAAAAAGAAGAAAGCAGCTAATTAGACGAGGTAACCTGAACTCTGGGATGTTTGCTTCTGCAAATCTGGGCAACCATGAATCTGTGATCAATCAATCCTGTTCTTCTGATGATCTCAGACGATATATCGCTCTCGATTATGTAGGTTCACTCCAACCAGCTGCAGCCATCCAGCTTCTTCATGCGCTGTCTCTTTGCCAGCCTCTTCATCTTCATAACATCATCTTGTCTGCCTGCACTTGCCAGCGAGTCCGAGAGTAGCAGGCAACTAGCTGCATTGGCCGGCTCGACGGTTAGCAGGTGGGACGCAGCCAGCTCGGCAAGCTTGACGTCGCCATGGCTTCGGCATGCCCCCAGCAACGCCCCCCAAACGAAGCAGTCAGGCTCCAGGGGCATGGCTTTGATGAAATCATAAGCCTCGGCGAGCCAGCCGGCTCGGCCAAGCAAATGCACCATGCACGCGCAGTGCTCCAGCCTCGGCACGATGCCGTGCTCTTCCTGCATGGCGCGGTACAGGCCCTTCCCGAGCTCCACCATGCCGGCGTAGCTGCAAACCGTCAGAACGGCTGTGAACGTCAGGTGATCCGGCCTTGCTCCCTCGCACAGCATCCGGTTGAAGAGACCGATGGCTTCTTGGCAGTGGCCGGAATTCGCCAGGCCAAAGAGCATGGAATTCCAAGTCACCGTGCTTCTTTCTGCCATCCTGTCAAACAGCCGGCGTGCTTCCAGCACGAACCCGCTCTTCGTGTACATGTCTACTAGAGCACTGCCCACAGTGAGCTCCTGTTCGACGCCGGTCACCACGGCGTAGGCGTGGACTTCCTTGCCATGCTTCACGTCAGCGACATTGGCGAAGGCAGGCAAGATGCTGGCAATCGTGGCCGAGCTCGGCAGGACAGGGTTGCCAGTGGTCATCATTCTCCGGAACAGCACGCGTGCCCTGGCATACTGAAAGTTCAGCACCGAGCCAGATACAAGCGATGTCCAAGTGACCACGTCCGGCTGGAACCCGTCCTCCTCCATGGCGCCGATCAATTCCTCGGCCATCTGGTCGTCGCCGGCCAGTGCAAAACCGGAGACGACGGCGTTCCATGTCATCAGGTCGGGGCACAGGCACTGGCCCCGCATTTTGATGGCCAGCGCCAGCGCGCGCTCCGGGGGGGCGTGGCGCGCATAGCATGCGACCAGCGCGTTCCAGGCGACGAGGTCATCCCTACGCGGCATTTCGTCGAACACCCTCTGGGCACTCGCGACGAGGCCACATTTGGCGTACATGTCGAGAAGCGCGGTGGCGGCGACGGCGTCGGAGGCGAGGGACGGGAACCGGGTGAGGACGAGCGCGTGGATTAGGCGGCCGGAGGAGGCGTTTCCGAGGCGCGCGCAGGCGCGGAGCGCCGTGGGGACGGCCGCGGGGTGCGGGTCCACCAAGCCGCGATCGCCGCGTCGGAGGTGGGCGAAGAAGAGGTGGAGAACGCAGCCGTGGCGGCCTTGCCGGGAAGCGTTCGTCAGCTGCTTCATCCATGAGCTGGTGGTTGTCGTGTGTGCGCACATGAGCTCTACGCCTCTACCTCATCTCACGTTCATCCAAGTCCATGAAGCTCATGTGCGCCCGCAGGACAACCACCAGCTCATGGATCTTTTTTTTTCAAATTAACTAATTACTACAAGCTCTACCAAAGAATCGTATTTAAAACTATGCCACTAAATCTCGTACGTAGTTCTGAATTCGAAGCTAGTGGTCAGCACTAGCCCGCCCAACAAGGACAAAATTCAGATCCAACACAAGGGCATCATCAACAGGAAGTTATACTTTAGCTAGAATACACAATCTGAAAATGGAACAAAACTGTAGATAAGCAAGTTGACAGATGGTGAACGGCAAAACAAATTCAACAATTTGGCAGAAGCACAAACAACACAATTGCCGGTAAAATTTGGGCCAATATTTCTGAACAATTCATCTATTTATGAGCTCCAAGCTCTGAAAGAACAGATCTTACAACCTACATAAAGAAAAGCTAATCTCACACTAGCTATCACTCTTCCCCAGAAAATAGCTTCATTATTTCAGCAGAGCTCCAATGCCGTTTGAGTACTATCACAGTCCACAAGCATCGCTAAACAGAGTGCCTCAAAAGTCTGTCTTCCACAGTGGCGGAATGAAGCGTACTCAAAATCTCTCACCAAATCTGAAGAAAATGGTTCCGGTACTAGCATTGTGATCTACAATGTACTCTCCCCTTACCAACCCAAGCTTGACACCAACACCATATGAAGATCCATGACCAACACGCCTGAAAAACTCTGTAGGGTTCCCTTTCACATCCTTGGAACTCCCAAGGTCAGTCCCATGTTCAGCAAATGCATAAACGTGTGTGTTTCTTACAGGGATGCGCAACTCTGTAGCAACCTGCATAGATTAACAGACATAAACATTAGTTACAAAACAACACAACAATGTGTGATGCCACGGTGCCAATTACATGTATTCTTTTAATGAAGGAAACCAGAATAATCAACGCCAACAATAATACTGGGGATGAAAACGCATCAAATGAGAATCTAGAGTGAGTAATGCATACCTCAAGAATATTCCTAGAAGCGCCCAGTTCACCGTTACTAAAGCCCCTAACAGAGTAAGGCCCTCCAAGTGCAAACGCGTCATAGATTGGCAAATCACCCACACAACCAGCATAATGACCATGAAGAACTAAAACAACTGGTAGTGGCTTGCCAGCACCTTTCTCTTGCTTATTTAAATTGATGAACTTGGTCAGACTAAGTTGATGACGGTTGAAGAATGGGTTTTTGCTTCCGATGCCAAGACCTTGGTCCAACTGCAACCAAGGAAATTCCCCAGTTTATGTATTTTATCATGGCAAAGACTAAATAACAACATGAAAACATAAAAGAACAAGTGCAAAGTTCAACATAGAGGTTCGTAAACAATAAGAGAGGTTTGTAAACAATAAGAGCACTGGGCAAGAAAAAAGTACTAAAAAAACATTGAATTGCAATCAATCAATGAAAGTTTGGTGCACTGTGGCAAGCTTTGGAATTGAAAGCGGTATTTAATAAAAAGATAAAATAACAAAGAGAGTCTGCCTTGCTACTTTTCACAAAATTGAGTGTAGCACTTCAAAGAGTCTTACAGCCACAAGGCAAATGCTTGAGCGTCAAAGGCTCACTTTACTATATGTCCTTGAAACCATAATTGTACAGATAGCTGACCTGGAAAATGTATCTGTCTCCAACAATTGCACCATTCACAAACTCAGTATTGTCACGGGTTATATTAGCCTGAAGGAATGCCATTCGGTCAACTCCAGTACCACTGAGGGTTGTGGGAGGTCCATCCATGCTCAAACTGCCACTAGGCATTGCTCGAGAACCATGGGTACAGATAGAATTAGTTTCATCACGTGTTGTAATCTCTTCAACCACGAGGCCATATGTGAATTTGCTTTGCCGTGTGAAGCTCTGAGAATCCAAACAGTTTTTCATCATGTTACAGATATTTCTGGAACAGTACTTGCTCATAAAATAGAAAAAATGTGGAAGAACTCGAGCAAACCTCTGTTATGTTGGCTTTAAATCCAACTCTATCGATCCAAACAGGCGGAGCCTCATCCATGTTGGGACCAGCAACAAAGACAGGACTCAATTTCCTCGTGTTGAAGCAGCTAGTTTTGAATGTGCGGTTTTTACTACGATCATCCACACCATCCAAATAAGGATGGACATACTCAAGCTTGAATGAAAGATCATCCTAAAGATCCCCCAAAATACACATGAATAAGTGCACGAAGTCAAAAAAATACAAGTGGTGTTGCTGACAAAAAAGTATAAAGACCTAAATAAATACTGTTAGACAGATGTTAGCCTATCAAGTACAAATAGAATAATCACCAACCATGAAACAAACCAGTATTTCTTAATGATGTTACTGTTTAAATATATTTCAATAGAACAGAGAATAATCAAGTTTAAGATTGACAAGTGCTAGGTAAATATAATTCCTTCTGGAGGCTAATGCAGCCATGCAGGGTCATTGCTCTACTTGTTCAGTAATTTTAGACATGAATTTGTCGACACTTAAAAATGCACACTTTCCACATGGTAGTCTAATGAAAGACAAACTAACATAAGATTAGAAATGCCATGCTGAACTCGCTCGTTGTTAAACACATTCCTCTTACAAAGTATAAAGCACCAAGGGTCTGATTGGTTGCCTGCACAAGCCCTTATCCAGGTCCCCGTGGTGCAATTCATCCCTATTTGGTTACCTGCACAAGCCCATATGCAGGCTAGTACTGTCCTCAAAGCAAGCCCAGCCTGCATCCTACAATTCGGCCAAATCCTGTGTATCCAGCTATGCACCCTCCCTCCCACCCGCACCCGCTCTACAGCCCAAGACTCAGTATGACCACTTACGTAGGAAACCAATCACACGCATAACATCCTATTCAGACGAACCAAAGAACAGCTAACTCCATAGGCTTATGCAGGTCAAGGCTACGCTGTATAACCCCTAATACAATGCAACCCCAAGTGACAAAAGGTAACAGTAACCAAAATCAGCAAAACAACAAAACTCCCAAAAGAACATTCATCAGCAACTAACCTGAGGGTTCAGCAGGTTGCTGGATGTAACAGAACCAACAATAGATCTATTAAGACCATAAATGTTCCGGTGCTCAAATGACACAGTTCCTCCAGGTTGTATGGATGCCTAAAAGAAAATAGCCATAAGATCTGAGGTTCATGACAGATAACAAACAAGATGTACTTTATCGAAATAGTGTAGCCTACCAATTATATACAGTGGAGGAGTTGCACCTATGGCAACTAGGACTATGGCCCTAGGTGCAGCACAAAAACACCTATAGAAATATCATCTAACTTCAAGATAAGTTCAAAGAATTCTACAATCTAGTCTGAGACACATGAATCCAGCCCTAGGTGTGGTAAAATCCTAGATCCACCCTTCCTTATATAGAAAGGTTCCAGAAGGAACAGATGATTCCAAATAAATAGGTACATTACCAAAGTTGGTCGCCCTTCACGCCCAGGTACAATACTCCATTCTGTGCTTACTTCAGCTGACTTGGGTTCCAGTTCCTTGAGCTTAATTTCAACTACTATGCCCCCTTCCTTTGTCTCATCAGGACGTGGATTAACTTCTATATTGGAAAACAAAGCAAGTGAATTTATATTCTTCAGAGCCTGTTTCCCTGCTCCAATGTTAAAGATGTGGCCAGGTCGAAGCTGTAAAAGATTAGTAGTCACAGATTAACAACTGAAGTCACAAACATGCTAGGAGAAAATTCATGTCAGGACAATGACTATTTAGTAAAAATATAGAGAGAGCAAGTATTTGTGTTGCACGTCAAACATCATCATAGAGACCACAAGACCAGAAGAATCACATGTAATGCATAACACTGAGTGCAAGTACGTTTGCATGCTACATGATATTTTAATTATTGATCCAAATATCCTAGTGCGCAACTCATCACTGAGTTACATTAATGAAAATAAAATGTCACGGGCGTTACCATATGCTAATCAATGTAATATCTTTAGCGATTGGTTGTAACAGGTATACCTGTTGGGGCAGCTCTCGGTCTATGATCGGAAGCTGGGTATTTCCCTCAACAATATTTCCAAGCTTATCCTGAAACTGGTACTCCACCTTGGTGATATCACCCTCGACCACCTCACACACAACCTCATTGGTGTTAAGGTTTCCAAAGTTAACCACCTGTGCGCACACAAAACCCTCGTTGTAGTACCATTTCTGGACATGGTCCCTGATCTTCTGCAGCATCCTGGCGCTCACCTTCTCCTGCTTCTTCATCATTCCCAGCACCTCTCCATGCACATTTTCTGGCAAGATGCAGGGCTTGGCACCCCGTACACGCTGCTGGTAATCACGTTCCTGCTTGCGGAGGTAATCCATTTTCTCCCTCTCAGTCATGTCCTGGTCGAAGTCAACCTGCCCTGACTGTGACATAAGCCCCACATTGATGCACTTGAACTGCTTTGCGGCACTCCACACACTCTCCACAAAGGAGACTGTGAGCCCAATTGTGTTATCCGGCTTGGGCTTCACCTCCAGATCAACCCGCTCAAACATGCCACTGGAGACGAGTGTCTCCAGCTCCTTGAGCAGCTGCGACTTGGTGTACACGCCACCAGGCTGCAGTGTTACCATTTCGAAGAAGGAATCCTCTGGCCCCGTGTAGGCGCCACCGCCGCCGGCTGCCCGGTCAAAGAACTTGAGCTCAGACAGCTTGTACCTCTTCAGCCCGCTCAGCTTCGTGAGGGGCACCGTCATGTTGACGGGGAGCCCGTGCGCGTCCCAATCCCCCGATGACTTGTCGTCTGCGTGCGCCGCGCCGACGGAGAACAGCCGGGACCAGAAGTCTCCACCCCCTCCGCCACCGGCACCACCACCCCCCGCGCCCCATCCACCCCCTCCACCACCGCCGCCGAAGAGACCCCCAGCGCCGCCTCCGAACCCCCCAAACGAGCCGAGAAGAAAGGCCGCGCCCGACGAGGCGATGAAGAAGGCAGCGCCGGTCTTAGCGGCCTCAGAGAAGACGGTAAATATCGCGGGGAGCTCGATCCTGGGCTCGGCGGGGACCGGGTCGCTGCCGGGCTGCGCGCCAGCCGAGGCGGCGGCGCGTATGGCGGAGGAGGAGGAGCCTCCCCGTGGTGGACGAGCGGCGGGTTCGTACCTGGCGGGCGAGATGGATAAGGATTGCCCCGCGTGGGGCTGCCCCCAGCCGCGCGGGGCCGCGGCGGCGGGTACGGAAGAGGACCGCCTCCCTCCATGGCCGCGGGGGGCCGCTGGCGGGGAACGCAGGGTGATGCCTTGGGAGGTTAGCGCCATTGCGACCGCGGATGCGGTGAAGGTAGGTGTCGGCGAGGGGGAGAAAGGGCGGAGGACGAGGAGGGGCACAGGGGGAGGGCCGGAGGGGTGTCTTCCTCGCCTCCCTTGGGTAAGGGTTTGGGTCTCTCCTATCTTTTGCACCCCCACCGTTTTTCGAGTTTTCTTTGAGGGTTTAGCTGCGGTGGGCCGTGGGCGCGGCGGCGTGGATACCTCACACGGCGGCCCGTGATAGCGTGTTGCGACTTGCGAAAGCCCTGCGGTTTGAACGCTCAAGACTCAGATGGGCCTTTTTTTCCTTTTCCCTTTTTCTTTCTTTTCTGATGCTGTTTTTGGTGCTTTTATTATTATTTTTTGAAGCAAAGCTCATTTCATTACTCATCTGTCACAGCGATCTCGCTGGACACCAGAGCCTCAAGCTCTTGAGGTACATTGTCCCAGACAGATTGAGAACCGCTGGGCAGATTACAACCAAGAACAAGCAAATTCGTGTGCAACACCGATTACAAATTTACAAGAACGAGGGCAAGCATGTAGACTACTCCCAACTAATTCAGAAGCTAGCAGGAGTTTGATCTCCATGATTACACCGCCCAGCGAGGAGAGCTGTATTCATCTCCCTCGAATCCATCTTCACCTGTACGTCATCGACTTCAAGTCGGTCGGGTATCGATATTAGGGCTATTCAAAGCAAAAAAGTTAGCGCCCACGCTGACTTCTTCGGATGGTTCGATACGTATTAAAAAGTCTCGCCCGACTCCAAGGCCGCGGGCTCCGTCTCGTCCGACCTCAAGGACGCAGGCTCCGTCTCGCCCGATCCCAAGAACGCGGTTTCCGTCTCGTCCAAGGTCGCGGGCTCTGTCTCGTTCGACCTCAAGGACGCGGGTTCCGTCTCGTCCGACGGGGACCCATACCACCGCCAACTAATCCAGGTCCAAGTCCGGGAAGAGGCTGGCACGCCTCGATGTAACCCGTGGCCATGACGGGCCATACCTGGGGATTCACATCAAGAATAGTGTCGGACGTGCCGGTGCTGTTCTGCCTAATACTCGTACGGACGCTGACAGGCGCGTCAGTTCACCACGACGTCCGTCGGGACAAAGTGGAACGCCATGACCGACAGATGACGCCTGCACATGGCGTCAGTGACAAACATGGTCGTGACATAGAGCCGTCCCTGTTGACATCTAAAGGATCGGCGGGACCCATCTAAAGGAGAAGGACCCGACAACCCTGAAAGCCTTCTTCTCTCTTTCCACTCCGTCAGCCTCGACGCGATCGCCGAGACGCTTGAGGAGCAACAACTGCACGCACCGGAGGCCCGCACCCCCAGGAGCGACCAGCTCCTCGGCTTCGATTACCGGAGGCTAGAGCGCCAGCTCAGCGCCTTCCTAGGACTCCGACCGTCCCGGGAGGACCTGCGCCGCCTCACCTTCTCGTTCACCAACGTCATGACGCAGCCTGCCGGAGGAGAGTCACTCTCCCCGGAATACCTCATCCGGAGCGTCCCAACAGCGCTCCCGTTCGGTCTGCGCAACGCTGCAGAGACCGTTGACCATCTTGTGGCGCAGCACACACCTCCATCCCCTACGAATGACGAGTTTGTGGGGATGACCGAATACGTCGCGGAATCTTTCCACGACCTTCTCGCGGAAGAATCGGAGTCGCCCTCCGACTCTGACTCCAGCAAGGGGAGCTATCATCCCTCGCAAGAATGTTTCATAGCAGGTACCCCTATGTTGACACAAAATGTGACGCACTGTGCCTCACACACAGCAAGCCGGAAAGCGTGGCTTCAATCGGGTGCCCGGGTGCTTCGTGATCCGGAAACGTGCCAGTCAGTTTGACCTGAAAAAAAACTAACAAGGGATAAAACAGTTAAATGCCAAACCAGAACATGTCGGGTGAGACCAGACAGTTCTATATATACGGCCCTGAAGCCACTTACAACGACATACAGCTATAGGAAGCTGTCTGCCAACAAGTTTATAAACCATTCGGCTAATCGTAAGATGAACACACGTAAAGATCCGATTGCCGAATGCATGTGCATGGGAAGACATGTTTGAACAAGTGAAATTAATTACGCGTTAATGCATATCCAAGCTCAGCAGTCCAGCCGAGTTGGGGTCCATGAAGAAGGAACGTGCAAATAAACACGATTAAGCTAATCTAAAACCTGCATCTGCCGCACGACACCTAGTTTCGTCAAAGCTTAAACGTAATTAACATGCATGAACCCACAACATGTGACAATCTAGATTAAAATAATTCAGCCATTATGAGCATGTTATCTATTTGCAAAGGTAATATAAAAGTAATGATCATTGAAGCACGAATAAAACCATAGGAGAGGGCCGAACAATATCAATCTAGATTGGGCAGAAGTGTGTTACAAATATATAAAATATTTAAAACATGCAACACAGGATAACTTAATGAATCTATTTAGATTTTGCCGTATCTAATAGAGCCGATAACTATCTTGCTTTCACTAAGCATATTGAGCAAACGCCTGCCGCACGGTATCTACTCATAAACAAAGCATAAGCAAAGACTTCTTGATTGTCAAGCAAAGATCCGCCGCACGATCATTGAAAACAAACAAGACTACTTGCATCACGTCTAAATCCACCGCATGATACTAAACATGATAACAAGGTTGTCGGGACTTACGGAGGTCGACGGATCGATGACTCCTCGAAGAACTCGACGACACGACAAAAGGACTCGAAAGTAGGCACGGGGCCGGTTGTATTGATTTGGTTGTGAAGGCCTATTACAATGGTCAAGGGTCAATATATATACCCTAGACAAAACACGAGTCCTAAAAGACTACGATTTACAAAGGAACTCTTAAACAAACTTGGAAACTACGATTCCTTGTCCTAAACTCTCAGAGTCCTTTATTATTACAACTTTCATCTTTTCGATCGGCTTTGCTTGCCATCTTCTGCTTTCCCGAATGGAGTCACCACCTTCTGAAGTAACCGACCGCACAAGCATTTAGCCGACCGCTCATTTTGTTTGCCGAATGTCCTTCTTCCCACATGTGGGCCCACCTGTCATCTTCCAAAGTCGACCAAAATCCAGTGTTAACACCCTGAGGGATACATTGAAAGCATCCACGAGTGAGGGGCTACCTCAACAGACGACCTCGATGACGAGGTCGAGGGGGATGCAGGGGCCCCACCTTGCCTGCGGGTAGAGCAACTGAGGACGCATCACCAAGAGCTGGAAGAAGCACGACTCCAACTCGAGCAGGAACACGTGGAGCTCGAGCGAGAGATCGAGCACCACGAAGACGGTGGCTGTGCGCGCGCCGTGGCCCGCGACGTGAACCAGAGGATCATCGAGAACGACGAAGCCCTCCCACACTTTACCCGAGCAAGCCAGAACATCGTAGCCACGGCGGCCTTGCTCCGGGGGCTTCCGGAGCCCCCGACACCCGAGGATCGTCGGGCCCATCGTGAAATTCACACGCTACTCGAGCGTGCGGTGGCGCAGTAGGCCGAGAGCTCGCTGTCCCGACGATACAAGCTCGACACCAGCCAGCGCGTGCCCTTAGAGCGACCCGACAGGGACATGTCAGTCCACTAGGCGCAGCGAGGCGGCAGCCACGGGCGTGGCCCCGGTGCATGAGCGTCTCAGCCTCCACCATGACGCACGCAACACCCTGGATGCCCATAGGCGTGCCCGTGTGAAAGGGTCGAGATGGCGGACTAGAGGGGGGGTGAATAGTCTTTTCTAAAATTAATCACGTCGGCTAACCGATATAAATGCGGAATTAAAACAATCGGTCTAGCCAAGACTACACCCCTCTATATATGTTCACTAGCACCTTGCAAAGATACTAATAAAGCAACTAAGGTGCCGGGCTAGCTAGAGCTCTCCTAAACAATTCTAGGAGCAAGGTCATACAAACCTATGCCACTAGTACTTTAAGTAACAAGGGAGCTCCTACACATGCTAGTAAGCAAAAGCACAAAGCTAACTAAGCTCACTAGCAATGCTCAATAACAAGGCAACCAATGCCTAATTAGAGAGCGCAAATACTTAGCTACACAAACTAAGCAATGTGACTAACAAGGTTACTAAAACCAAATTAGCCACGTAAGGGAGCTACTTCTATGCTACACAAGCAAGAAGGTAATTAGCTAGCTACACAAGCTATCTAATTACAAGAGCAACTACACAAGCTTAAGATATATATATATAAGTAATTGCAAGCTTGTGTAATGGGGATGCAAACCAACGGGAAGAACAAGGTTGACACTATGATTTTTCTCCTGAGGTTCAGGTGTTTGCCAACACGCTAGTCCCCGTTGTGTCGACCGCTCACTTGGTGGTTCGGCGGCTAATTAGCATCACCCGCTAGGCCCGCACGTCGGGCACCGCAAGAACCTACCCCTTGAGTGAGGGTAGCTCAATGACACGCTTTACTAGAGTTGCTCTTCGTGGCTCCCGCGGGGCGAGCACAACGCCCCTCACAAGCACTTCTCCGGAGCGCCGCACAAGCTTCTTGCGGGCTTCGACGGAGACCACCACCAAGCCGTCTAGGAGGTGGCAACCTCTAAGAGTAACAAGCACCACCGGCTTACAACACGACCACCTAGTGCCACTCTATGCAACCTCATGATGCAATCGCACTAGAATCGCTAACTCACACAATTGAATGATCACTATCAAGTATATGTGTGATGGAGGGCTCCCAAGCACTCACAAGCATGGACACTAAGTCCCTTGAGGTGCTCAGCATCAGCCATGGTCGAGGGCCACTTCTATTTATAGCCCCAAGGGCTAAACTAGCCATTACCCCTTCACTGGGCAATGGTCGGGCCGACCGGACGCTCCGGTCGTGTTGATCGGACGCTGGACCTCAGCGTCCGGTCGCCCGCAGACGGCCACGTGTCCTGATTCCAACGGTCACTTGACCTGATCGGACGCAGCAGCTTCAACTGACCAGACGCTGAACCCCCAGCGTCCGGTCGTTTCTAGTAAGG